GCTAGGTGCAGTGGCTCACACCTGTAATCCCAACACTTTGGGATGCTGAGGCAGGCGGATCTCTTAAGGTCAGGAGTTCAAGACCAGTCAACATGGTGAAACCTTGTCTCTACTAAAAAAAGCCCGGTCACGGTGGCTCATGCCTATAATCCCAGCACTTTGGGAGGCCGAGGCGGGCGGATGACCTGAAGTCAGGAGTTCAAGACCAGCCTGACCCACATGGTAAAAACGTGTCTCTATTAAAAAAAAAAAAAAAAAATTAGCCAGGCGTAGTGGTGCACACCTGTGGTCCCTTATTTGCTACTCAGGAGACTGAGGCAGGAGAACTGCTTGAACCCAGAGGCAGAGGTTGCAGTGAGCCGAGATTGCTCCACTGCACTCCAGCCTGGGCAGAAGAGCGAGACTTCCTCTGTCTCAAGAAAAAAAAAAAAGTACTAACTCATGGTAGACTTTGATAAATGAAGGATGCATGTTGTAAGCTCTAAAATAATCTACTATCATCTTTTAAAATAACTCCAGACTGCGCAGTCACAAAACTAATAGAAAGGGGAAACTGAATAATAAAAATAGTAAATGCAAAACAAGATGTAAGAGGAGATAAGAAGAAACAGAATAGGCACAGAAAACAAATTGGTGGTGGCTTTCAACCCAAATAAATTGGTAGTTACATTTAAAAGGACAATCAATAAAAATTAAAATAATTGAAAATAAAATAAAACCCAACTAATGTGTTTTATATAAGAATACAGAAAGGTGGAAAATAATGAAAAATATATCCTGCACATACTAACCAAGAAAGCTGTATAACCCTTTTTTTTTTTTTTTTTTTAAAAAAAGCTTCACTCTGTCTCCCAGGCTGCTTGCAGTGACGTGATCTTGGCTCACAGCAATCTCTGCCTTCTAGGCTCAAGTGATTCTCCCACCTCAGCCTCCCAAGTAGCTGGGACTATATGTGTGCCAACTTAGAATTATATTAGCCACACTCGGCTAATATTCGTATTTTTTGTAGAGGCAGGGTCTCGCCAAGTTGCCCAGGCTGGTCTTGAACTCCTGGGCTTCATCGATCCACCCACTTCTACCTCCCAAAGTGCCGAGATTACAGGAGTGAGCCGCCATGCCCAGCATAACTATTTTTAATGAAGTAGACTTTAAGAAGAAAAGTATTATTAGAGATAAGAGACACATCACGGAAAAGAAGTTACTAGCAGTCGGGTGCGGTGGCTCACGCCTGTAATCCCGGCACTTTGGGAGGCTGAGGCAAGCAGATCACCTGAGGTTGGGGGTATGAGACCAGCCCTTGCAACATGTCAAGGCCCTGTCTCTACTAAAAACACAAAAATTAGCTGGGCATGGTGGTGGGAGCCTGTAATTCCAGCTACTAGGGAGGCTGAGGGAGGAGAATCACTTGAAGCCCGGAGGCAGAGGTTGTGATGAGCTGAGATGGTGCCATTGTCCTCCAGCCTGGGCAACAAGAGCGAAACTCAGTCTCAGAAAAAAGAAAAAGAAGTTACTAGCTAGTTTCAGTACTGACATCCAGGAAAGTGGAGGTAAAACTTCCAGAACTTAACATCCAGGAAACTGGATGTAAAGTTTTTTTAGAGAAACGAAACCAATAGTTTATACATAGACAGAGAGAGATTTATTTTAGGAATTGGCTCATGTGATTGTGGGGACTAGCAAGTTTAAAATCCGTAGGGCAAGCCAGCAGGCTATAAATTCAGGTAAGACCTGATCTCGAAGTCTAGAAGCTAAAATCTGCAGAGCAGTCAGCAGGCCAGACGCCCAGGCAGGACATCTGTGTGACAGTCTTGAAGCAGAATTCCTGCTTCTCTAGGAAACCTCAGTTTTCACTCCTAAGGCCTTCAACTGACTGGATGTGGCCCACTCACATGATGGTGGTTAATCTGCTTTACTTGAAGTCAACTGACTGTCAATGTTAATCACATCTATGAAATAACCTCCCGGTAAGATACTGACAAGCATTTGACCAAATAACGGAGCACCATAGCTTAGCCGAGTTGACTGACACAGAAATTAAGCATCAGGAGTGAATAGAATGTCCAAAAAACCAAAACACTAGGGGTACTATATCTTATATAGCTATCATAATTATGTAAAACACATAATTATAGAATGAAGATATTAAGATAACCATCAGAACAAAAATAAAAACTTTTTTTTTTGAAACCAAGTCTTGCTCTGTCACCCAGGCTCAAGTGCAGTGGTGCAATTTTGGCTTACTGCAACCTTTGCCTCTCGGGTTCAAGAGATTCTCCTGCCTCAACTTCTAGCGTAGCTGAAATTACAGGTACCCGCCACCATGCCCCGCTAATTTTTGGATTTTTAGTAGAGGAGGGGTTTCACCTTGTTGGCCAGGCTGGTCTTGAACTCCTGACCCCAAGTGATCCACCCACCTCGGCCTCACAAAGTGCTGGGATTATATATGTGAGCCACCGTGTTTGGCCAAAAATCGCCTTTTTTTACAAAGATCAAAACAGACATTATGCTGGAGATGAGAGACCTCACTGTCACCATGCTCCTTTCGCACGTCCACTAGGCCCAGTGCTGGGTCCAGACTCACATAAGCCTTAGGGACCCGCACCCAGGGGCTCTGGCTGTAGCAGAATCCAAAGAATAAATGCTGGTGCTGATAGAGTAGGAGACAGGGCCGGGCACAGTGGTTCACGCCAGTCATCCCAGCAGTTTGGGAGGCCGAGGTGGGCAGATCATGAGGTCAACAGATCAAGACCATCCTGGCCAACATGGTGAAGCCTGGTCTCTACTGAAAATTCAAAAATTGTCGGGCGCGATGGCACACTAAGTTTGGCATCAACATGGTGAACTCCTGGGAGTGGGGGACCACCAGGTTGTCTAAAGAGGGGTGAACCGGCCCACGTCTGAAACGGAGCAGGTCAAAACTCCCATGATGATCAGTAGTGGGATCGCACCTGTGAATAGCCACTGCACCCTAGCCTGGGCAACATAGCGAGACCCCGTCTCTAAAAAAAAATAAATAAATAAAAATAAAAATAATTCAAAAAATTTCAAAAATTAGCTGGGTGTGGTGGCATGTGCCTGTCGTCCTAGCTACTTGGGAGGCTGAGGCAGGAGAATTGCTAGAACCCAGGATGCGGAGGTTGCAGTGAGCCAAGATCATGCCACTGCACTCCAGCCTGGTGACAGAGCCAGACTCCGTCTCAAAACAAAAAAAAAAAAGAGGAGACTGGATTCTGGGAGGACCTGCTAGTGAGAGGTAAGCACAGAGGGGAGAGACGGAGGCAGGAGCATGGGAGCCCCAGCAGACCCTGCAGCAGCGTCTGGCCAGGGATCCCTGCAGGGAGGCATCTTGGCCAGGAGGATGCTGCAGCAGGCCTCTCGCTGAGGCCCGTAGCCAGCCCAGCCAGGGTCCCAGAGTCCAGTGACCCCTGTTCTGCAGCAGCAGCTGGGGCCAGACCCAGGCTCTCTTCCACTCCCAGCTTCTTAAAACAGGAAGTGGAGAGAGTCGTTGACAAAATACTGTTGCAAACCACATCCTATCTCTTCACCAAGGGAGAACTGGAGGGATGTGGGCGGAGGAAGCATTAGAGCAGAGATCCCTACTCAACCACTGACCCTCACGCACACAGCAGGGCATGGGAGACCCCCCGACACTCACTCGGGAGGCATCGCAGGTCCAGACTCCACTGGGAGATCTGTGGCAGCAGGTCCCCATTCCCAAAGGCCACATGCCCACGGGTGGTCTCTGCTGCCTGAGACCCCAGTCTCATTTGCAACTTTGCGACTTCAAGTTTAAGTGGGTGCCGCATTTCTGTATGTCCTCCTGAGCAGAGAAGGAGCACTGCCTGGGGTGGCCTCTAACGTCAATGCCTTGAATCCCCTGGGAGCCACTGGGGAGGCCAAGCAGTCACCAGCCCCCACTTGTCCCTGAGCTGCCATTCTCAGCCCTGTGGAAGGAGACAGAAAGCCCTGAAGCTAAACCAAAGGACCAGGTCACGAGGGGCTGGAGGGTGGCATGAGCAATCAGGGCAGGGAAGGATGGACAGATGGGGGAATGGAGGGAGGAAGAAATGAATGAAAAGGTGAATGAATGAACAAAGAGAGAGAACAGCCTCCCTTGCTTTAGTGCTGTTCCCTTCAGTTTACAAAGCACTGGAACCCTTCCAATAGCCTGCAAGACAGAACTTCTGGGAAGCAGACCAGGTGGCTGGCAGGGAGGGGATGCTTGCCATGGCTTTTGTGGGCCCAGTGGGAGGCTGGGGGCAGGAAGGGGCATCCTGTGTGTTCCCGCTCTGCAGCGGCAGCGGTGGAGGCCCTCCTTGGGCTGGGCTTCCTGGAAGAGGGTCGGGAAACACCCGCTGTCGCCCCTTTCTACCACGCTCTCATCCAGGGTACCAAGTATCAATCACTCAGGTCACGGGACCCAGGCCCTGACTCAGGGAGAGGGGATGTGAGGGGTGGGGCAATGGGTATCCCAGGACTGAGAGATCAGAGATGTGGCCCCGTGCCGGGAGTCGGGGCAGACAGGCTGTGGCAGCATCGTGTGGACCCCAGCAGTCCAGTACCCACACAGGGAGCCTCTCAACCCCTTCACCTATGAGCTTGGGAGAAGACCGCAACCTTGGAGAACCGGAGGGACCTGCACCAGCCAGCAGGGTCAGGCGGGGCCAGACCGGTTCCCAAATGGGTTATGCAAATGGGCCTCCTGAACCCTGGAGCCAGGCATAGACTCACACACCACCATCGTCCCTAAATCCCCATCTGCTCCACAGGCACACCCTGCCACCTGTTCTGTGCAAGGAACCTGAGGCTGCCTCGCGCCCAAGCCCTGCAGGCGGTGAAGCCCAAACCCACATGGCTCTTGCTTCCTGGGCCGATGCACGTGCACACGCGCGCGCGTACACACACACACACACACACACACTCACACACACACACACACGCCTTCTCCAGGAGGGGCTGGCTGCCAACAGCCACCCAGCTCCCTCCCACCTCTCACTCACCGTCCAATATCCGAGCAGACCTTGGAATCAGCAGCAACAGCAGCGTGGGCAAAGGCCTGGGGACCACAGGGGACCTGGTGGCCAGAGAGGACCACAGCCAACACTATGACAGCCAGCGCCAGCCCCAGCCCCAGAAGCACCAGACCGACCGTAGTGCCGCAGCCCCGTGCCATGGCTCCGCAGCCCAGGAGGAGAGGGGAGGCCGGTGGGCAGACAGAGGGACAGATGGGTGGGCAGACGAAGGGACAAGAAGATGCACAGATAGACTCGCAGGTAATTGGACAGATGGACAAACAGGTGGGGCTGGAGACAGACACGAAGATGGACTGACAGACAGTCCAGATAGCTGGACAGAGAGAACAGTAAGAGAAAGATGGTCAGATGGAGACGGGCTTACAGATGGGGGACAGTTAGACAGATCTGAACTGCGGGCTGCCAGATGGACAGATGGGTGGACGGATAGACGGCTGGTGGCCGGCAGCTGTGGCGAGCTGCTGCCTTCCCCAAGTGCACACTACGAAGTAGCCAAACTCACGCCTCAACTTCCAGTTTTCAGTTCATGCTTGTTCCTGGCAGGAGGCCAGTCAGCAAAGCGTCAGAGGGGAGTTTTCCTTGCCTAGCGAAGCCAGCAGCTGTGTTAACTCCCCTACTGGTGGTAGGTCCCGACGCCCCGCCTGCTACCCGCCAGAGCCCAGGGCCACGTTGTCCCGATGTGCTTGAGAAGTGCCTGCTGCACTGCGGTTGCTAGGTGGGGGCAGGGCTCCCAAGAACCGCCACACCATTCCCTGGGTTCCCGGCAGCTCCCAGTAAAGCAGGGCTGGGACCGCTCAACTCTCTCCCCGCCAACCGGCCAGGCTTCCCTGGAGCCCTAACCCCAGCTCCCACCTCTATCCCTAACCCTCTCTGCATGGCCCAGCCCAGGCAGCGTCAAGGTGAAGCTGAACAGAGACAGAAGGAGAGGGACCCAAGGTAGTGTCACTCAGGACCTGGGTTCAAGTCCCTATGCTTCTGCAGCCTGGCCTGGGTCCCCCAGTTCCCCAGGGTGACCAAAGGCTTCCCAGACTGCACTGAGAACAGGCAGACTTGAGAGCACCAGACGCTGATGACTACAAGATACTCATGTGGGGAATGCAGACAGACAATGCTTGGCACTGGGACTATCCATGCCTGGGCCTTGCTGTCCTGGAAATGCAGCATGGGCCTCCAGGGAGGGACGCTGAGCCACCTGGGTGCCGTGCCACGCCCCGCCTGCAACTCTTCCCCACCCTGGCTGCGGGTCTGCTTTCCTGAATCCAAATCCGCTATTACCGTGTTCGCAGTGCCTCCTCTCTGGGGACACTGGCCTGGCCTTGTCCTCCCCAGGCCTCAGGGTGCTTATCTGGGAGGCAACCAGGGGAGTGAGGACCCACTGAGGGGCTCCACTGACCAGGCTCAGCCTGGGTACAGGTGATGTGGGCTGGACACCTTCCCATGCGGCCCCCCCAGTCCTCCCCACTTCCTTCCCAGCTGAGCACTGCCGGCTCCAGATGTCTACACCTGGAGTCAGAGCCCTCGACCTGGACAGCAGAGAAGCTGAGGCACAGAAACAGACTGTGTCCTTACAGGCCACACAGCCTGCCAGGCCCCTATGTCCAGCCAGAGCCCCTGGTCAGCCTGGGCTGGAGGGATTGTTTAGAGGCAGGCTGTTCCCACGGCTGCCTCTCGCAGTAGGGGGTCTGTGGACGCCTCCTCCCACCCCCATCCAACTCGAAAGTCTCAGTGACATTGCTCAATCAGGAGCCAAAGCACATTCCTGGGCCCAGGCCAGGCCACCCACCCACCCGCTGCAGCCCTTGAAGCCCAGAGGCCAGGGCAGCAGGGACAGTGGCGACAGCAGCTTGGGGGATGCCCCCCCTTCTCTCCCCACCATCCTGGTCAGGCAGAGGCCAGGGTGCAAGGACTGTTTGAGCAAAGGCCCAGGGAAAGGAATGAGTGTCATCTGGTCCTGGCTAGAGGCACAGCGAGGGACATCCCTGAATGTCCTTACTCAGGAAAAGATGGGGGCAGGGGCGATGAGAAGGAAAGAGAGGATTTAAGTCTCCTAGCCCCCGAGGTAGTCCTGGGCTGCGCCCCATGAGACCTGGAGAACCGTGGTGTGCCCCACCAGTGTGTCGGGTCCTGGAAGCCTCATGGCCAGCTCTGACTTCTCCTGCTGCTGCACAACCCAGAGCAAGGCCTGCCTCTCCAGCCTCAGTCTTCTCCCCTGCAAATGGGGCCACAGCCTTTCCTCTTAGGCTAAAATAAGGATTGAGACCGGGTGCAGTGGCTCACCCCTGTAATCCTAGCACTTTGGGAGGCTGAGATGGAAGGACTGCTTGAAGTCAGGAGTTTAAGAGCAGCCTGGTCAATAGAGTAAGACCCCATCTCTATTCGTTTAAATAAAATTTTTTAAAAATTACATAGGCCGGGCCGGGCGCGGTGGCTCAAGCCTGTAATCCCAGCACTTTGGGAGGCCGAGGC